TGTCTTATGCACCGAAAAATACGGTAAGTTTTGTGAATGACTTAGTGTCATGGTGCACATGATGATGTCAAGTTGATTTTTCTGAACAACTTAGTGTCATGTTGCATGTGATGATGTCAAGTTAATTTTTCTGAACAACTTAGTGTCATGGTGCATGTGATGATTTCAAGTTAATTTTTCTGAACAACTTAGTGTCATGGTGCACATGATGATGTTAAGTTAATTTTTCTGAACGACTTACTGTCATGGTGCACATGATGATGTCAAGTTAATTTTTCAAAAGCCAAATATTTTTTATTTCTCTTCTGTTGTAAAATTTACACGGTTAAAGCCTCTTTAGTGAGTAATGTATAATGAAAGATAAACAAAAAAAAGTTACTGACTTTTTATGAGGAAAGTTTAACAAGAAATACCGGAATGAGAATTAAGTCTTTTATTTCTAAACATCTTCAGTGTTTTTATGTAGAATCATTAGCTTTGGTTAGAAGCTTCAAAACATCACAATGCTGATTTCGCTCACTCTGTGTCGTCGTTATTCAACCAGTAGACCTTCGTATAGCACTGGAATTTTAGCATACTTGCCGTAGACATATACAAGGTGATAATGAACAATGACCAAACTTAATCTCATTTTAGATTAATCTGAGAATACTATTAAAATAGATTGGAAGGAAACCTCTCCACATGTTGAAAATATTGAACGATGAGTCTAAAGGTTCACTAATCATATTTAGGTTCTCGTTAGATAAATTGCTCATTAGAATAGATATGAAATGATAGAATGATAACAGTAGATTTTAAAACCCATTTGATCAAAGCACCACAACTCCTCAACATGGGGCACTGACATTATTTAGGACATATAATAGTTTATTGATAAAAATATTTGCGTATGTGTATTTTTAAAAATATTTAACAGTTATTTAATTAAACAAGAACATACTCTATTTATGGTTCACAAGTGCTTAAAATATTTTTGTCTGCTTTTTTGTTAACAGAACAGTAGCTGCTAGCTTTCGTTTTACCTACCTTTTCTGTTAACAGTAGCTGCTAGCTTCTGTTCTGTCTGCTTCTACTTTTGTGTTATCAGAACAGTAGTTGCTAGCTTCTGTTCTGCCTACTTTTTAGTTAACAGAACAGTAGTTGCTAGCTTCTGTTCTGCCTACTTTTTAGTTAACAGAACAGTAGTTGCCAGCTTCTGTTCTAAATTTTTGTTAACAGAACAGTAGTTGCCAGCTTCTGTTCTACATCTTTTGTTAACAGAACAGTAGTTGCCAGCTTCTGTTCTACATCTTTTGTTAACAGAACAGTAGTTGCCAGCTTCTGTTCTACATTTTTTGTTAACAGAACAGTAGTTGCTAGCTTCTGTTCTACATTTTTTGTTAACAGAACAGTAGTTGCTAGCTTCTGTTCTACTTTTTTTGTTAACAGAACAGTAGCTGCTAGCTTCTGTTCTACTTTTTTTGTTAACAGAACAGTAGCTACTAGCTTCTGTTCTACTTTTTTGTTAATGGAACAGTATTTGTTAGCTTCTGTTCTACTGTTTTTGTTAACAGTTGTTGCTAGCTTCTGTTTTGTCTACTTTTTTTTGTTAATAGTAGTTGCCAGCTTCTGTTCTGTCTACTTTTTTTTGTTAACAGTAGTTGCCAGCTTCTCTTCTGTCTACTTTTTTTGTTAACAGTAGTTACTAGGTTGTGTTCTGTCTACTTTTTTTGTTAACAGTAGTTACTAGGTTCTGTTCTGTCTACTTTTTTTGTTAACAGTAGTTACTAGGTTCTGTTCTGTCTACTTTTTTTTGTTAACAGTAGTTACCGGCTTCTGTTCTGTCTACTTTTTTTGTTAACAGTAGTTACTAGGTTCTGTTCTCTCTACTTTTTTTTGTTAACAGTAGTTACTAGGTTCTGTTCTGTCTACTTTTTTTTGTTAACAGTAGTTGCCAGCTTCTGTTCTGTCTACTTTTTTTTGTTAACAGTAGTTGCCGGCTTCTGTTCTCTCTACTTTTTTTTGTTAACAGTAGTTACTAGGTTCTGTTCTCTCTACTTTTTTTTGTTAACAGTAGTTACTAGGTTCTGTTCTCTCTACTTTTTTTGTTTACAGAACGGTTGCTGCTAGCTTCTGTATGGTGCTGTTCGGAAGTTTCATGTCTCTGAGATTACAAGATTCTTATCTTTACCACATCTGTAACTGATGCCAAGTTGGTGATAGAGGAGGTTGATTGAAGTTCTGTTTAGGACAGCAGAAAAATGCAAAAGCCAACAAACATTTTATCAGCAAAATAAAACAGTCTAACATTCAGTTTAATAAAACTGAAATCATTTTGCTGTTCTTTTGAAATAAATCCTTTTTTTTCTTTAAAATTTGCATAATAGGAAAATATTATGACAGAAAAAAAAATTTGCTGTGTAACAAACACATTTATATACATATATATAATTAGTGGTTTAACTAGTCACGTACGCAAGTCCTTAATAAGTGTTTTGAAAATACGACAAAAAAAAATATTTGGCAATATCTCAAAGAGCTTTACAAATTTTACACACACCACAGTGCATTGCATCATGAAAGAAATTATAACATCGTAGTTTTAATTACAAATCCCTGACCAAGTATTTAATAGAATAAGTCCAAGTAAAAAAATTAAAAGATTTATGGCTTTACATGCCTTATCAATATCTTGTGTCACTCTCAACAGAGAACTGAAGAATTGGAGATGTTGATGAATGACTCTGGAAATTATCTTGACATTTAGAACATGCTGTAATACATCACTACTGACCCACTGAATATGTATTAAAGTCAGACAGTGACTAAGGAGGCTGTTACACGTGTAGAAATAAACTACAAAAAGTGTGTATATAACTGAACCTCTAAAGACTTTTACAAGTTGCTGAGGACATTAATTAAAAATGCTCCACCTGTAATGATAGTAAAAAAAAAATGTTTTTGCATCATTTTATTTTTATTTTATTGCTAATAAAAAAATAATACAAGTGGTTCTTAGAAAAATTAAACTGTTATCACATTGAATCGGTAGGCTTAACAACTATGAGCTATGGAATATGATCCAAGATGATAATGTCTTCAGGTCGTATGTCGCGGGATTATTCTAATTCAGTATATAAAAAACTTACATAAAAAAACAGATCTTTTATTATTTAATCCTCCCTAATAATGGTCTGTACTTAAATTATTTAATAAAGGTTATTCAAATAATTAACTGATTTGTCATATATTATTTTGGAAGTATAACAATAATATTACACCCATTCATTTTGTCTAATGAGAGACAAAACAAGTAGCCAAAACCTGCTCATAAACAAGGCTAAAAATTATGTTTACGTCTCATCAGGACTGTTCCTTGTTTATTCATAAGTTTAAAAAATAATAACACTGTGAATGTTGAATGATGTAGGTGTTTTCTAATATACATTATAATCATTTGAATTTTTTTTTTTCTTTTAATGAGACTTTTTTCGGTAGTTTTTCATATGTTAGGTGAAACTGTGGTAAAACTTTTGCATCTTAAAAGAATTGTCAATTAATTATACGAGTGATTGTCCATGTAAAATTGAAATTTTCTTTAAGCACAATTAATTTAAGTGATGTTTTTCAAGGCTGTAATATTGTAAAAAATGGGGTATTCGCATTAACATAAAGGTTCATTAGAAGTGTTAAAAATAACAAAATTTGTGGTAAAAGTCTGTTTAGTATATTTTTTTAATCATTAAAGAACTTTCCATGCTGCATCTGGCTTATATTTGGGACTGTTTATTGTAGTGGAAAAAAAAAAAGACAAGTTTATTAATTTAAAAATCGAAATTATGTTACGTAAGCATTAATTACTTAGACAAAAAAAAACAGATTGTGTATTGGACTTGTATGGCATAACGTTCAAAAATAAATAAGGTACTGAATAACTTGTTTGATTTTATAGACCCAGCAATACAGTAATCGTATGAATAGAAATGTGGATGTGTCAAATTATCTACGTTCTTGGATTTTAAATGAAGAAAATATAGACTGGAGATACATGTGTGCTGATAAAGCGAATGGTGTAAGCAGTATCAAGTGAAAATAAGTACCTGTACCATGGTGAAACGGTTCCAGGCTTACCTACCCAACTGTCATCGTACGTACAGTTGTATACATTGTAGGGCTCACTTAGCTAACCATGATGAGCTAATTTCAAAGGTTTGCACTTTCTTTTACTTGTTAAAAGTGTGTTTAAAAAAGGAAATTTTATTTAGTTGCACGTGCACACTGTATAGGGTGAGGTTTACAATAGTAGTTGTAATGATGTACTCTTTAAATTATAGCATTATGTGTTGTTGTTTTTTTTTGTCTTCTTTCGGTGAAATTTTTTTGTTGAATTTATCATTAGTGTATTCATACGTATATTTCAGATTGAATGTTGCATTGAAACACAAAATGCGTCACTAAGACTAACTTAAAATACAGATTAGCGACACTTTAAACAATATTACACATAGAAAAAAAAGCTGTTGTTCTTTCAGTGTAGTATCTTGAGTTTTGTGAAATACTCTTATAAGCACAGTGCTAACATTTTAATCTGTTCACATGCTTTAATCAGAAAGCTCTAATTTTTTGTTGTTGTTTCTTTTTGAAAATACTACGAAATTACTTTTAATTTTATGATCACAGTATGTACTTTCTTTGTTTCCTGATTTTTAAATATATGTGCTCAGTCTGTTTTTGTTTTTGTACAGTTTGGAGGTGCTTTGCTTATACAGTATTTGTAGACAAACGATTACCTTTAGTTTATTGAAATTATACAGCTAATATAACACGTGTCAGATCTCTATTAAAAGAAGAAAAAAAAAACACTTAATTATGCAAGACTAAGTTAGAAATTTAATTATAATACATGCATGCATAACCAATAACCCACACCCTTATCATTGACTCACTTTTGAAGTTATATCTCACCATATAACGTGTGAATTTTAATCAATGAAGAATACGGTTATAATGTCTATTTCTTTTAGTCAATAATCTCTCAAACTTAAGATTTAAAGAGTTTGAGGATTTGTGTATAATATATACTGAGACATACAGGGACTCAGCCAGCACTAGAGATCCTATTTAAACAAAAGCATTCAAAACTTAAGATCAGTGAAGTGTTTATTTTCTTAAAAAGTCGAATGCTATTTGGACGTACTTGATTGGGCTGATTGTTCAACTCCTACCTGACCCTGGCTATACTCATGGATTTATATTGAGCATATATGAAAAAAAGATACATTTTGTATGCAATCTCTTCAACTGTACACACAGATTTTAGTATTGAACAAATATGACCTTGAAAATTTAGATCTCTGCTACATTATTCTGATAAATTATAAAATACAGATGTTTTTATGAATTTAGTATGAAAAGCTGTGACTATTAAAATCAGCCAAAGTAAGTAATTAATAGAATCTTAAAATTAGTAACAATACTATCTTAAAACTGTAAGCCAAGGGTTCTAAAACTTACACTAATTTTGAAAAAATAAATAAACATATTTGTTTTTAAACACTTGTATCTTATTAGTGTACGAGTTCTGTACAATTTCAATGTTTTACATATTTGATTTCAAAGTTTCTTCTTAAATGCATGAAGTTGCGTATGCGAGTAAATATTTCATCAATATCCTAAATGTGATAAATTAAATTAAAATATGATTACGTTTACTGTTATTTTATAAAACTTTGCACATACTATAAAGAATAATTTGTTTTAATATCTTTCATACAAGAGGAATATAGAGCATAGTTGTTATATGATTTGAAGTTACATTGCTTGTAAATTATGATATAATTGAAGTACCGTATTTGACGGCATATAGGACGCACTTATTTCCCAAAATTTTGGCTCAAAAAATCGCCCTACGTCTAATATGCGAAGTTGAGACCTTCCGCAGGCTAATCTTCTTCCTAACGCTCACTATCCTAGCATACGATCAGTACAGCATTCCAACTACGAAGTAAGAAATAGGAAATTTGCATAGGCCAGACGCAGTCGAATTTTCAGCATCCTGTTAAAGGATGGAAGATCTATCTCTTAAAAGTGCGAACGCTTGTCCCTTCAGAAACAAGGTTTTGTCACGTCGTTTTAAGTCTTTTAAGAAGTGTGGCATTAGCAATGCTCTTGATGGCACAGAAGATAATGTGTTATTTGAAGTCCGTGATTCCAGCAGCAGTGACGAAGATGAAAATTTTTCTGGTTTTGAAGATGAAGAATTTTCTGGTTATGAAGATGATTAAAGTGTATCCCCATTTTCTTACTGTGTTTTAGTTTATGTTCAAGTGTTTTCTGCTTGTGTAATGTGCTGTTAGATTACTTTCACCAATATATGCTTAAATACACTAAAAACTACTAAAAAGTACACTTTTCCTGAATCTGACCTGCTGAAATGGGGGTGCGTCTTATATACCCATACGTCCTATATGCCATCAAATATGGTAATTTGACCTATTTTGGCATCTTTGGACTCCATCATACAATTGCAGTTTTAATTCATGTATTTGAAGAAAGGAAAAAAATATATAATGTCTGAGAAAAGAAACAGTTTTGCAATTTCAAGCTGGGTATTTTATTTTTAAATTCAATCTTTTCCCCCTTAGTCATTCCAAGGAAGTCAAGGTCGAGCCTATCTCTTCAATTCTGTGTGAGTACTTTGACTGCATTTGTTTTAAACCTAAACATTTTTATTTTGTTTCTGGTGGTTGAAAGGTTATTGACAGTAACAAGAGCCATGTGTATGAACTTTTTAAGCCAAATTTATGGCACACGTCTTAGTCAGTTGAATAGCTAAGCCTAACAAGGTTTATAAACTATGTTTTTAATCTGACAAAAGTTTTTGTAATCTGTTATATACTTTTGTATATGTTTCAGTATTTTATGCTGTACGTTCTTGGTGGTTCTTGGTTTAGTGTTTTCTTTTGTTGTTTTTTGAGTAAAAGATTGATCTATTATGCCTACAGTTTAGTACAAAAGCTGGGCCTTCACTTTGGTAGAGCTATGTTATTTTACCGAACTCATTAAAAAGTCATGGAAGAGAAATTCGTAAAAACTCAAACTTGATTTTAAAAGGATCTGAAACTGATTGATAATGTAGTTCTTTTTAAAAAGTTGAAAAATGTAACTATATATATATACAGAAGTAGAAGGAAAACGGTTAGTTAAGGAAACAATTATTCCCAAAAGGTTCATGTATATTACAAACTTTAAAATAGAAGTGTAAATATTCATTCCTTTGGCTTATAGGCATTAGGTATCGAGACATGTAGAGTTGGGTCAAATGAATTTGCACCTCTTGTATAATACAGAAGTTACCAAACCTTTTTGTTTGTTTTTTAACATTCATGATAAGAAGGCATTAGGATAAGGCAATAAAACAAGTTAGCTATAAATGAAACTAATAGCATGCAAACAGATGAATGTAAAGGATGTCCTTTGTGCTGTGGAAGGCAGGAAAAGGCTGTTAGAAGCTCATTTAGTTAGTTCCCTTATTTTGTTTATATTTTACAATTTACAGTGTTAATGTGGGTTGTGGACCGGCTGAAGAGAGGGTACTCTTGACTGGCCTCCATGCTGTTGCTGACATCTACTGTGAATGCTGCAAGACTACACTTGGTTGGAAATATGTAAGGTCTTTAGCTCTAGTGAAATTAACTGGCTTTGTAATTGTTGTGTTTTCTTAACAATAATAACTAACTGGGCCACACTTTTTTTCTAAACAAATGCATGATTAAATTTTTGTTAATAAAAAAAATATTTTCTTTGCAATTGATTTTTGCTCTGGTCAGTAGTTTTATGACTTCATTTTAAATGAAAGTTTGAATGATACTATAAATTTACTAATACTGCATTGAGGCTTGAGGGCAGTGCCTAAATTGGAAGGCTGTGATGCCTCTTCTATGATGAGAAAGCAAATAAAGTAATCAAAGACAGATGCTGAATGTTATGAATATAGTCTTTTAAACAACAACCCAAAGAAAAGCTTCTGATGAACCTGGAGCTTAAATAATAAATATGAATGAATATTAATTTAAATAGTAAATCCTTCTGAATGAAAGGATAAGAAGTGGATATTTAAGACATATTGAAGTGTAAAAGAGAAGGATTTACTAAATTGTTTAAAATATTCTTTCAATTGAAAGACTATGCACCTTCAGTTCAACATTCCTGTATCTTTTATCACTTCATTTGTATCACTGTGAAGGAGATGACGGTTTACATCCTAGCCTCATGTACAATATCAGAAACCTAGTGTAGCTTGTGCTTTTCAAATTTGCTTATAATTCACCCAGGAAATTTGTTGAAGAGCTAAATAGTTAAACTCTAAGGATCTGTAGCACAGCAAGGGTGAAAGAAGAAAGCTATCCACTAAAGAAACCATCCCTATTGTACATCTGAAAAGCAATTAATATCTCGGCCTTTGCGACATTTCTTGATTAATTTTTCTGATATTGTTGATTATATACCCGAGTAAAGGGATACGAATAAACTCAGTTTCCAAAAGGTGAGTATTTTGAAAATATATATTTAAAAAAACGCATTATATAATAGTGTAAATTTTTTAATATAAGCAAGTGAAAAATAGTATTAATATTTGGTACCTGAATCAGGCATTTATTTGAATAAAGTAAAGTCACAAGTTGAAATGCAATTATCTGTCTAATTTTGAATTGACACAATGTTTTTTTTTATACTTATTAGCAGGAATCTTTCAGTTGAGGGAGGGAGACTTTACAGTTGCATTAATATTTCAGATTGAAAGGTGACTACTTGACATGTACTATAGAAAGAATTATTCTTGAATAGACAGTAAATAAATAGCTTTTGTAAGTGAGAGAATATATTTTATCATAAAAAGCTTTCTTTAAGAGGATAATGAAGTAAAGAAGCTTGTCATTAACAGGAACATGCTTTCGAGTCCAGCCAGAAGTACAAAGAAGGAAAATATATCATTGAGCTGGCCCACATGATTAAAGAAAATGGTTGGAATTGATGCTGGATGGAGGTTCTATTTAAGGCAAAAATGGAATTGACTTTAAGAATCCCTTGACTGTGTGTTGATTCTGTTTTTAGAAGAAGAATTGGCGGATGTATCCGTTTTCTTATCAGAGGAGTAAACCCGTCATCCTTTTTTTTTTTTAAACGAGCACCAAGTGTATCATAACTACCTTACCTTTAAGGTTAACAACTTCCAAGTTTTGTACAGCAGTCAAGTGTACTGCTGGTACTTTACGGCAAGCGGCATTGCTTTCTTTCTTGTTCAATTCTAATGTGATCTGGCTTCATCTTTCTAAGAGTTTTTGCAACATCAAAGTGTATTTTTTATTCAAGCTTTCAGTGCTTGCAACATGTATGGCACTGTGCATTCATCGTATGTAGATAGGTGTTAAAAATTAGTCATGGTGAGGCAATGAAAAATCACTTTTTGTACATGTCAGTCATCAAATGTCAGTGTATCTCTTACATAAGGTTGTGTGGTTTACTTTGTTTTGGTTCTGTTTAGCATCTTTTTTTTTTCTTATTCTTATATTAAGAGTTGTGAGCCATACGGTTTTGTTTTTAATTGTAAATACAATTTTTTCTGTGTGCATTTTTTTATCGATTTCATTCTGGCTTTCAGGAAAGAGTTTCATATTTTGTAAGTTAATTCCAGTGATCTTCTTTTACTGTTCTTAAAGTAATAGGTACTAACATAGGGTTCTCTCTTTCTCTCATATAACAGACAGCATGTGCATCTCTTATTATAAAGTCGGTATTTTAATATCTTGTAATCGAGGCTATTATACACTTCTCTCATTTTGCTTGGGATTATGTCCCTGTCTTACATTATGTTCAACATATCATCATCGTATTAACCCCGTTAAGCCTTAAAAAATTTATAATTATATCAGTGTGCTTGAGCTACTTTAGTTTTTATAACACTGCTTGCAAAGTTGTATCATCAAGCATTTTTTTAGTATAAATACTTAGAGATGTTCCACCAAGTTATCTGTTAAGCAGAACTGATAAAACTAAACTGATTTTGCCTTTGCGTTTAGACTGTTTAGAGGAATCGAAGCTATGATCAGGGGTACAGTTTCTATGATTACTATTAGAGATGTATTGTACATTAATTTTGACTTAGTAAGGTAGAAATCACAGCAATATTATAAGTATTTTTCAACTTAACTTCAATGAACCAAGATACATATACCGATGCAACAACTAATAAGTGAGCTAACGCAGTTTTTAAAAAAAAAGTTTCATCTCAATTTATCATTTGACAAATATAATCTGAAATTTATTTCTATATATTAATTAACTGTAGTTTTATCGAGTGTTATTATATTCATATATTAGCTTAACAGAATATCTTGGTTTGGAAGTGTTAGTAGTCACTTGTATCTTTAGGCAAAATTAGTTTACACACTCGTATATTAATTTGGCTTATGCGATACGAGTCAAAGAGACTTAAAAAAGTAAACACAAGTATTCTTATAAATCTTAGAGATGAAAATTAAAGCTAACAATCTTTATTACTGCATGTGAAAAACTAAATAAACTTAAAAAATAATATATTTTGTTAAGTTATGTATTTCTGAATCTCTGAATGTATTTGTATTAATGTACTTGCTGTCCAGAAATTGTGTTAATAAAATTGATTATTTTTTATTTCCAAATACCCTGCACATGAGCTAATGCTATCACTTATCTTCATTTAATGTTTCAGGCTTTTTATAGTTACTTAAGTTTGTAACATATTTAGATTTGGTTATCCTGTTTTTCTTCAATACTCTTTTTTTTTTTTCTTTCATTGTGATATGATAAACTTTATTAAATTTGTAAATTTTATGCTTTTTTCTTGTAAGTTGAAACATTTATTTCTATTGTTTTGCAAGAACTTATAAATCTTTTTTTATTATTATTATTTTCCAAAGCTTTGTTCTATTGTTAGAAATTCTAGAAACGTGTGTAATGTGGTAAATGTCGACCACGTGTCAGTGATATCTATCGTCCGCTAGGGAATGACAAAGGTAGATAGTGAAAAAATGCTATATAAGGCAGGTTAAAACTTCAGTCAAATATTTCCATGCTTCTTGCATTTCTTCACAGATTTTTGTGTTATTTATTTATGTAAATTTATCGTAAATGTAAATAATGGAATGCATAGTGCTCAAATAAACACCTACTGTAAATGACTTAACACAAATGAATTGTTATTTTTAACCAGATCTTACTTAATTCCTTTTACACTATTTATTGAGTCAAATAGAAAATAAAATTTGAATGCTTACCTAACAAGATAAATGTTATACCGAAGATCTCGTACCACTGTACTGTTAATAACAAGTGTTTCTATTTAAAACATCACAAGCTGTTCAACACAGTTTTCATTTAAATGAGTTATAAACCCACTTTTTTTTTGGCAACTGTAATATATACAGATTTTAATATTTAAAATGAAACTGGATTTTGTAACAGCTTCATTGTATTTAATGTCGTTTTCATTATCACTAGCGATGTTTCAGAGATTCCCCAGATAGTGATGGTATACCAGGAATAACTAATATTATCTTGCAGCTATTTTTCAGGAAAAGTGGAGTTTTATAAATCGTTTCTGGTCAACATAATTAAAATTCTGATAAAGCTTACTGCGTGTAGTGCAGGAAGTTTTGGTAACCATCAAAGTTTTCATAACCATGTTGTGTGAAAAAAAACTAAACGTATTTCCCAAAGATGCAAATTTAATCTCAAAACTGTGCTGGTTTCTTTTTGAAATCTTAATATATATACATGTAGATCTCTCCCTAAAAAAACATAATCTCTGGAAAAGATCTTTTTTAATTTTTATTTTTTTTACATTACATGATAAAATTAATATTTTGACTTCTTGAAAGAAACTAATGATCCTTATGGCCAGCTAACATTCAGTATCTCTGGTTTGGGAGTAATTAAGTTTTGGTTGCTTTTGCCCTTTTTTCTGTAGAATATATCTAGGGGTAGTGGTGAACATTAAATTATCTCGGCACCAATAAAATTTGCATCTTCGGCAAATATATACAAGTTTAAACTCCCTAAGGATGATTATAATATATTGTATGTCTTCACAAATTCACACTTTCATCTGCACAACATCAAAAGTCATGGCATCACTTCTCTAACATCACTGTTGAACATATTTTGAGCAAAGAGTAACAATTGAAAACTCCCCAAAAGATAGGGAATCCGCCGTTAAGCCAGGTGGGGGGTGGAGAAGTTACAATGTGACTCTGAATATTTTTAATTTCTGGGTTAGATTTGTTTTATGTACTTTTGTATACCTATCCAAGTGCCACAAGGCTAAGAAGCATTCATAACGAACCGACTGACTACTTATTTGCCGTATAGAGTACAGTCGAATGTGAATGGGCCACATGTTGGTGTATGACTTTCCAAACTTCCTCGTGTGTTTAGAGCAACCACAATCAATGGATTAATCATGCTGAATATGTATTGATACTATCCATCAGCTACAAAAACTTTGGGTGGACAAATTATTTCGTAACAGTAGCTACTTAGTAGTCAAAATCTGATAAAGATAACTACACCCTTGTGTTTTATTATTCATGTGTAGTAGGTAGTAAAAGAGTAACATAAATCATGCAAATTTTATTTGAGCAAGTAGAAAAAATAAATGGAATTTGAAATTTAATATGTTAAGCCTATTTTGTATGATTTAATTTTAAATGGATGACAAATACACTTCTAATATAATAGTTTAGCGATTATTTGAGTCTTTCTGAAACATATGGGAAGAACCATACAAAACTTGTCAGTTTATTATATTTCACATGATATTTCTCAATTTGCCTCATTGTTTTCCATTTTTAAACCAGTAATAGACCACTTAAAACCAAATCAATCTCGATATGGGTGCAATTTGCCACAAAATGCTGTTTCTAGATCAGTGATTGTTTTTTGTTTTAAAAGGCAGCTGTCTGTTAAAGTTGAAATTCACTTAACCAATTTCTACCAAATCTAGCATTTAACCCTGAATATCTAGTGCTGATGTTGAGGTTTAAGTTTCATCATAATTATTCACAATTGAAGTTGTTTAATGTACTTCTTTATTACAGTTTCTTAACAAATTTATATTTTTCATTTGCCTTTGATAAAGTAGAAGTAATATAAATGAAGGAAAGCACATTTATTCATTCTTCTTTTAAAAACAATCTGAAGCATTATTTCAACAGAATAACTTTTACTCACCAACTGATCATAACGAGTTACTCGCCAACTATTCATAACGAGTTACTCGCCAACTGATCATAACGAGTTACTCGCCAACTGATCATAACGAATTACTCGCCAACTGATCAGTAACGAGTTACTCGCCAACTGATCACAACGAGTTACTCGCCAACTGATCACAACGAGTTTATTAGTTGAATGATCTCAAGATGTTGATTTTTCTTATCATGTGGATGCTGATACATGTTAGTAGCCTTGAATACCTTAAGTTACTCCATTTCAGACCTGTGCAGAAATCAACATATGTACTCTGGTGCTACACTCTTGCCAAAAAAATAATTAGACGTAATTTGAAAGGTTTGTTAGGTAATTATTGGTGTATAGAATACTTTTTAACAGAAAATCTGCCGTGGTTGAACTATCTCGAGAACCATGCTTGCGTTATTCAATAATAGCATTTTCCTTTATTAGGTACCCAATGAGAGGAAACACGAATGTCGAAAAGTTTGTTCTTGAGCTAGTCATACCACGGTAAATTCTCAGTTTAAACTATAAACTACAGATATTTTATTAACACTTTAGGCCTATATTATGCACTATTAATGGCATATTAAATTTGGATTTTAAGTTGTCAGTGAAAGACTTCCTCTTCAGTGAATATTTGCAGGCTTTATCCATTCAGTATTGTTGTTTTGTTAGTCTCTTCTTTACTAGTTTAATATACGTGTTTGTAATGTAAGTACCGAGAACAGTTATTACTATGTAAGAAAAACAATGTTTAGAAAAGTGTACGCACAAGTTTATTCATTTTGGTAAACTTGCGTGCATTTTTTCCAGTTCGTTTTATTGTTTAATAATGTTGCAATTAAAATCAGTAAAATGAAAATATTTACATATTATGGGTAGCTTGTAAAATATCAGTTTTTTTATTCTTCTTTTGGTCTCTAAAGTTGGTTAAATTGAAACATTAAAGATAATATTATAATTTACAATCATTTTATTTGTAGGTGATTATAAAGCATAGCAACATTTAGAAACTGTAGATGTATTTTGGTTTTTAGTAAAGTATTAATTATGTTTCATTTGCTTTCCAGTGTGAGGAAATAGGTGTTGTATGTATTTGTCTTAGTGTTAAATGTTAATCTTTTTATGCATATCCCATTAAGTATTTCAGATTTTATTTTATTTAACTCTTAAATTATCTTTATTGTTTTTTTTTTCAGTATCTATGTGCATGTACAGACAGATTCAATAATATCGATATTCTTATTCCAGTGTTTCTCAACCACCACTCTGTCCTTGCTGGTCCACCGGATTTCACAAAAACAAACAAACTCAAGGAATATTCATGTGTAAATTGTACTGGTTTTTCATTGTTTTTGCATTTTAGTGGTTTGCAACAATTCAGGTAGGCAGTGAGCCAGTCCCAAAAAGGTTGAGAAACACTGGCTTATCCTACAAGCTGATATGTGCATCATTTATAAGCTTGTTGTGCTAATGATAGACTTGTTATTTTCTATTGAATGATTAAATGTATTTAAAGCTTGGGGAGTAAAATCTGCATGAAATGCTTCTCAAAATAATTAACCAGAATTAAAACAGTTCCACTATCTTCGGAATAACATTTCTCGTAGTAGGATTTCCTCGTGACACTTCTCGCATCTTTAAAGTGCAGAAATATAGTTCCTTTTATATTTATGTGAGGATTGAATTACCTTCTCTGACTTTGTGTTTAGTTAAGTATAGATTAATATTTGGATGAACAGTTTGAAAAACTATTCATCTACAAAAAAAAATAATGTAAGTGTTGTATGACACTGTTCTCTTTCTCTGTGTTATCGTTATGATGCTGTTCTTTTTCTCTCTAATGCTTACAACTGTTTTCTCTCTCTCCCATCACAAATGAGATTAATTTGTCCAAAAGACAAAAGAAATGTAGCTGTAAAACTTACTGTAGGGAACCTATTAAACTTTTATTGTAATGTCGAGATATAAAACCTTAGAAGTATTTGATAACTTTGTACATTTAATGGAAGGTCTTTAAAACGACTAATTGTGTATTTAAGGAACAAATTTTTTTTTATACTAGTTATTTCTTATTTTTATTTTGGAAACTGATAATTGTGATGTAGTATTCATAAACTAAAAGCTGCTACAAATAATTACTGAAAAAAATTATCATTTACACCGATGTACAAGTTATGTATTACGCCCAAAAAAATGTTTCTAGTAATGTGTAAATTGAAAAATAGTTGATAAGTAGGATTTTTTTTAATATGATGGCTGTTAACATCTGCCTACACAGCATGTGTGTGCCAATCTCTAGACAACAATTCACTCACTTTTTATCATTTCATATGTACATGTTCTTTTTATTTAGAATGAAAATGCTGCCGAGGTGGCTGTTCATGTAAAGAATTATTTGTATTACTATGAGATGGATTTCCGC